CCCCAGCCGGCCAGCTGGCTGGCTGGGGAATTCTGGGAGTTGAAGTCCAGACCTCTTAAAGTGGCCGAGGTTGGGAAACACTGATACGTTTCATCAACGTATGGCTGGGAAATCTCTAGATAATGAGTCGATTCTGGGTCTCTGCTGCCTCGGTTGCCTAAAATAAATGTTAATAGGGCTGCGGGCCCGTTGAGGTTTTCGCTCTGCTTGTAGAATTCTTCCCCATTCACATGCACAGGGCACTAAGCCACAGCCCGCTTAAACCCGACTCGCTGAAGTCAGGGCATGTCAAACCAGATGGCTGCGTGCAGCCCAAACCACGACGTGACTTAATCTAGGTCCCCGTGCATAATAATAGCACATGTGCACCGTTCCTTGCTTATTTCTAAAGCCCCTTTTACACGAGGTGAACAATATTTGCACGCGAACAAAGCTGCTGAGGACCGAAACAGACTTTCCCAAATGGCGAGTTCTCAGGAGCCAAAGCTATGAGCGCCAGCTAGAAACAGATGCAACGTTACCCATCCAGCCGTGCAAAGCTCCAAGTGACTTGGCCCTTCCGGCCCCGAAATGCCCAGGGAAGATCTCTGGAAGGCTGGGTTGACGCCGAGCACCACCCTGCAGTAAGCTTCGCGAGCTTAAGCTCAGCCTAAATCCCTCCCTCCCAGTTTCCGTGTCACCGTTACTGCTGGGTTCTGACAGAATGCAAAGTAAAGTTGTGCGTGGTGTCGCAACTGTAGTTCGGTCGCAGAGCCCGGTCCTGCTTCAGGCAGCAACGTTTTTGCGCGCTTATATTTTCCTCGGTGGTTCTGTGACTAAGAGAGAGACTCGGAATTGTTGTAGAATTAGTTCATTTCTCAGGCGGCACGGCGGGTCGGAAAACAGCCCAAGCCTCAAACCAGACCATAAAACAAACGTCTGACTTTGAGGAAGGAAGTGGTGTCCTTCGAGGGACTCGGTTCTCACGGGCAGGGGGCCAGGCCGGGGGCGGGGGTCAGGAGGAACCTCGCGGCCGAGGAGAGGATGAAGTCCGGCGCCTCCAGACGGGCCGGTGGGGAGGCTGGGCTCAGCTGAGGAAGGGAAGGGGATTCTGAGGCTCGCGGCTCGAGCCTTCTCTGTGGAACAGCACAGATCAAGTCAGTGAAAGGATGAGCCTCTTCGAGGGCAGCAGCAGTTTGCCGAAAGGGAAGCCATCTCCAAACGCTTCTGGGCGCTTTCATGAGGACGGCTCATCGCAGGGCATCTTCTAACCCAGGGAAGAGAAGACGAACCTTGCGGTTCTCCTTCCCACAGTCAAGGTTTTTATCAGAGCGGTTCTTCTCGTGTTTATAGTGTTATTTCATTCGGGTTGAAGTTCACCCGGAGAGCTTGGGTTGTCAGATAGGCAATGGACGTGGTTGGCAAATCAACGGAGACCTCCTCCATTTCCTCCTCTTATTTCACAGAGTATCTGGAGGAGAACTTTTTGATTTCCTGGCCCAGAAGGAGTCGCTGAGTGAGGAAGAAGCCACGCGGTTCATTAAGCAGATCCTGGACGGGGTCAACTACCTGCACACCAGGAAGATCGCCCATTTTGATTTAAAGGTGAGGAGCAGCTGCAGCTAAAGCCACTTTGAGGGTGGGCAGAGGGGCCTCATCCTGGCCCCATCTCTGGGCTTCAGGTGACGATGCCTGTTGGCCAACGGGATGGATGCTGAAGAAAAAGGCCCTTCCAACCAAATCAGCTTGCCTCCAGGTAAATGTCATGGGCCACACAGAACACTCTGGCTTGACTAGTTTGTAGCTCATGACCTTCACCCCTGAGGCTTCATCATACTTTGAAGGGTACCTAAAGACCTTCCAAGCCAAGAAATCTATGGATTTTGCCTACAGAAGATTATTAGAATTCGGTCCTGCTCCTCTTCTGAACTGGGCCTGCAATCCAATTGACCCTCAAAGACCCTCAAAGACCAGTTGTGGGGCTGGCAAAGGCAGGATTTAACTTTCAGGTATGCTCCTGGCCTTCGTGGGTTTTGCCAGTAGCTCGGAGATGTTTCAGTGCACAGAAAGGGGAACGGCAACATAACTCAGAAAGAGGTCATATTTCCAGACGTTGGCGATAAAGAAAAGTGAGGGAGGATTTATTTTCTTTTTTCTTGAAAGGAACTTTGGTCTGCCCATTAGCTGGAGGTATGTGCGTATCTGGTAGCCAGGAAAGAGGACTTTGGGTATTTCCCCCAGCTACTAGAGGCCCCTCCTTCCCTCCAACAGAATTTGAGTTTGTATCAAATATCCTCCCAAGTTGCAGCCCCAACACCCAAGTCTCAGCCGGAAGAGCCCTCCTTCTGCTCTGGGGACGGGTCTCATTCCCAACCTGGCAGGTCTTTTGGCAAAGAACCAGAGGGGCTGGAAGAGGCCGGGCTCCGTGGCCAACTCACCCCAGCGCCGCTGGCACTTCCCAAGAGCTGCTCCTTTGGCAGCGCCCTGGAGATGCTTGCAGAGGTGACTGTGGTCCTCCTGCCTGCATAGCAGAAACCGTTGTGGGTCTCTGCCAGGTTTTGCATACACTTTGCTATTCCCTGGGCCAGGGGGCTGCAGAATCCCATGCCATGGCTTAACCCACCTTTGCTTGCCCTGGGCTGCCGTTGGGCCTAGGTCAGGGCTCGGGCCTGGCTCCCCTTCCCTGCAGGCGCTCCAGAGTGTCTGTCCCTTCCCGAGTTCAGCCTGAAGGCTGATGGTCCTCTCTTCTCTGGTCTTTCCCATCCCGAAGCCTGAAAATATTATGCTGCTTGACAAGAACCTTCCCATCCCGCACATCAAACTGATCGACTTTGGTCTGGCCCATGAAATAGAAGAGGGAGTGGAGTTCAAAAATATTTTTGGGACGCCAGAATTCGTAGGTAAGTCGGCGTCCTTTCGCCGTTACTCGTGTGGCTTCCTCAGCCGAGGCCGAGCGCCCCGTCCTCGCCAGCAGCCAGTCTTGGTCTTGAGAAGAGGGGCGATAGCGCATCCCCAAACTCATGCAGGGACCAGGGCGGCAGGCCTTCTCAGTCCGTGGCCCTGCCGATGTGTGCCATGAGCGTGATTTCCATCCCAGTGAGGATGATGGGTGCTGTCATCTAACAGGTCTGGAAGGCTTTGGGTTGGGGTGGGGCAGTCTTTCATACGTCAAGAGTGATGTGACCTGTCAAGCCGTGCTTTTCTTCCACCTGCTTATAAGGCAACCATTTCTGAGCCCTCTCGGCAGTCTTCCCGGGTGTCGGCCCCTCGAGGCAGATCCGACTAGGAAACCAAAGCCATGAGGGCTAATACGACCTTTATTATAAGGTTATAGGAACAGGATCTTGCAAGCCTGAATGTGCCTCCCCCTCCCTCCCTTTATCTTCATGAGAACTAGGGAGGGTCTCGTCTGAGACGCCTCATCGGATTACGGTTCTGCCCCGGACTGACTTCTGGTCTCTGACCGCTGCCTCGGCTGCGGCTCTTCCTCCTGCTCCTCACGGTTATTCCTGCACCACGGCTTCACTGTACCTTGGTGCCGGGGTTTAGCCGGGAGACCTGCACGAGCAGAACGGCTGCTGAATGTTTCCTTAGCAGTTGGCAGCCAGTTCTTGTTGTTTGTGTATGAATGTATGTATGTATGTATGTGAATGGGATGTGGCTTGCCCCTCTGGCTGGGCTCGTGGTGCTGCATTGCTCCTGACTAGCATCCTTTTTCCGCTTCCCAGCTGAGGAGGCTGTCACACAGGACTTTGTTTGTTTCTGAGAAAAGGGTACAAACCATCGCTTTGCTGGAAAGCCCCTTATGGGGAACCACCTCTCTCTAGCCTTGTGAGGCGTTGCCAGGGGAGTTCAGTTAGGGTCGCCCTGCATCTTTGTAAATCAACTCCACGTTTGCCTCCAGGGCCCTCCTCCCAAGAGAAAGGGCTACTCCCTGAAATGTTTCATGCTCTGGGGCCTGTGGGATGGTGGAGGGAGAGGGAAAGCAGAAGACCATGACATGAGAGGCGCCCTGGAGGTGCCCTCAGGCCTGGGGGCCCTCTGCGTCCTTGCCGGAGTTCTTTGTCTCCCTGACCTTGCCATCAACTCTCCCCTTCCAGCTCCAGAAATAGTGAATTACGAGCCGCTCGGGCTGGCGGCTGATTTGTGGTGAGTATTTTCTGCTTCCGTTTGCACTCAGTCTGTCCGCCTCCCCTAACCTGGTGCCCTTCAGCTGGGCTGGGGGGAAGTGTGGGGGCTGGCCCAGCACATCTGGAAGTCTGGCGTTCCTTTGCGCTTGCCTAACTTGTGTGTTCTGGATTAGCTTTTAAAAAAAACCCAATCAGCAAACACAACTAATTTGCTGTTTCCCCCCCCCCCCAGGAGCATTGGAGTCATCACTTATATATTGTAAGTACTGGAATATTAGTTCCCTTTGTTTATCCACCTATTTATGTTTATCTGTTCCTTGGGTATTTTCAATCCCACATTCCTCCACCTCGTTCAAGGTGCAATCAGTGCTGCCCCTTTCTCATTTTATCCTTGCAACAACCCTGTAAGATTCGTTAGACTGACAGATAGAAACTTGTACAAGGTAGCTTGTGGCAAAGGGGGAGGTGGGCCCAATTCCCCCAGCCCCTGCTGAGAAAGATGTTTCACATAAGCTCAAAAGGGATTTCTCGCACCCTTAACGCCCTGCGCACAGGAGGGAATGATGGGGAGTGCGATGGGAGAGACGCTACAGAAATTGGGCTGCAAAACAGAAGAAAGAGAGTGTGGCGGTAACGGAGTACCATGCAAATTGGATGGAGGTGCCTAAAATTAATTGTTGCAATTAAAAAAAATCTATCAGGCTAGGAAGGTGGCGGAAAGCAAGCAGATAGAGGAGTGCGCGGAGAAGTCCTTGCTGGCCCCACAGGCATCCTTGGGCAGGGGGAGAGAGAAGATGCTCCATGAAGGAGGTTGCCCAGCTTCTGCTCAGATCCCAGTTCGCCCAGCAAAAAGCCGGGAAGAGGAGTGAGCGTGCAAGGCCGTCGAGAAGTCCCGGGAACAGTTGCGCAGGCGGCTCACTAGGTGGCAGTGTGGAGCTGTCCATGGTGTTCGGGAGGCTGCAACGGAGTGGAAGGGAATTCTGGCTTCTGATGACCATTAAGGGAGGGTGGGTCTGGGGGTTCCTGGCATGGATCCTCCCCCCCAGCAGGCTCCAGTTGCTCCCTCTTCCTTGCTTCTGTTGTGCATGCCCAAATTCCTACAGAGGCAGGAAAAGGGGCCCAGACCTGCTTGGCCATCAAACTCTTCTGCTCTGGCCACCGCAAAGGAGGCAAATGCTGGTGGGACCCTCCTGGGTTCTGCAGGATGCTTGGGCAGACTGGGGCAGCTGTTCTTCCCTAACTATCGCCAGGGCCTTGGCTCACCTGCGGAAAGCTGGGAGGGTCAGACCTAACGACTGCTTAGCTGGGAGACGAGCTTAGTGGAGAAATCCCGGGGCTGGAGATAAGGCCAGGAAGTTGGAGAAGCCAGTCACAAACCAAAGTTGTTGCCAAAGAAAAAGATGGTCCATGGATTCCCCAGGAGTCATGCTTGAGTCAAGGCTGATTTGGCACCTTCAGCCTTGCCCAGTTGATCATCCTGTTCTGGTTCCCAGGCTCTACTAAGCCAAAGCCAACCAAGACCAGCCATTGGTGCCCTCAGCCACCAAATAACTGGGGCTTCTTTTCAGTGCTGTGGACCAGAAACCGTGGAACGTTTCCCAGCCACGGAGCAAACCCTGAAGAGGGGGACACTAGGGTCCTCCTTAAGGGAGGAGCAGTTCCTGTCCTTGGCTCTGGGGCCTCATTTGCTCATATCCGGAGTTCCTGACTCAGCGTTTCTGTTTGGAAGCTGGCAAGGAAGGGCTTTCTCTTTCAGAGGTAAACAGGAGGCGCTCCCTCCAGCGAAGGGCATCTCAGAGAATCTTTTCCAGGCTAAATAAAGGCTTCCCGCTGAGATCTGGGCTGGGGGCTAAAAAAAGAGGATGCAGAGGCTTCCTTCCTTCCTTGTGACTACCGGGCTACCAGAGAGCCCTCCTAGGCAACACACAACACACAACCTTCTCTCTGTTTTCAACAAGGTTTGCACAGGACACTTCCCTGTGGGGTCTCCCCATGGTGTTCAGAGTCTCCTATCTCCCATCTTCATTGGCCCTCCCAAATCCACCCCTGATGCTCTGGCTGCTCCATTTAGAAACGTTTCCTTCCTTCCTTCCTTCCTTCCTTCCTTCCTTCCTTCCTTCCTTCCTTCCTTCCTTCCTTCCTTCCTTCA